GTTGAGGAAGGAGATGCAGGTTTTGGTTTTTGTTCTTGGTTTTTGATTTTGGTTTTTGGGTTTTTTGTTCATGGAAGTCGAGAGAGATGAGGAGAGAAGCAACAATGCGTAGTTCAAACTCAAGGGATAAATTGGTCATTTTTGTTATTCAGACTGTTGATTCAGATAGAATAGTAAACAACAACATAAATTTATCCAGACAGACAAATTTATCCATACATGACTTAATAGAAAATTTGGTAAACAGCCCCTAAGACCACATAGGAAATGGAGTACATAATTGTCTGTGTAATTGTTAGCCTTAATAGAAAATCTCATGCAAACATCTTGCAAGTTGTAACATCCAACATTCTTCCATATTTTATCTATCTTTTTAGTCTCGAGTGAGTAGCCGAAATCCTAGTGTTAATCTCGGATCACTAGTTTAGTTATGTTTTTTTACCATCTTATTAACTTAGGGGACTTGCCTTGGAAATCAACTTTTGGGTGTAGTGTACACAGGCCTTTGGGGGAGTTTGATGCGGGTTAAGCCACATTAGCTATTGGAGTGGTCGAGCCTCGAAACATTTCAAAAGGAAACTAACAGTAGCAAATGCGGGTTGGGTCTAGCAGTTATCGCTTGTGTGCACTGGTTGGCGGGGGTTGTGCTGCGTGAAAGTCGCCTGCATGGTTTGACTTTAGGCTGTTAAAGCCATTGACCAGCTCCCTCCCTCTTAGAATTGTTCACGGGCGGATGACCCGCTTGACCCGTCATGTCCGGCCCGTTAGAAAAGCGGACTTAGATTACCATTCTCGAAGAAATGAACGGGTCTAGACTAGGGATGGTGATTTGGCCCGACCCGGTGGGGAACCCGGTTCACCCGACCCGGACGGGGACAGGGATTCCCCGCTAAAACGGGTACCGGGGCCGGGGCCGGGGATCCCCGGTAGAGGCAAACCGGGGCCGGGTATTGTATCCCCCGACCCGCCCCGCACCCGTTATATATAAATATTAACATTTTGATTATTTGGGCTTATAATTGATATGTGCGGCCTGTTGGACTTATGGACTTGGGCTTTGTAATTGATATGTCCAAATTTCAATCCTCTTCTACTCTTCTTGACTAGAGTCTAGATATGATGTAATTATATTAACACTTGTTTTAAATTTTACATTTCTTTGGATTATTGTTAATGTTACAATTTTATTATTTTTATTAGGCAAGACTAGATATGATGTAATTATGTTGTTATGTTGATCATGCTTAGAAAAAACTTATTAATTTTTATTTGACCGGGGGTTGACCGAAGGTTGACCGGGGGTTGACCGAAAGTTGACCGGGGCCGGGGCCGGGGCCGGGGACTGTGTGTATAAACCGGGGCCGGGGCCGGGGATTGCAAACCCCGAACCCATCCCCGCCCCGTTGCCATCCCTAGTCTGGACTTACTTGTTAAAATTAATGGGCGGATATGGGTAATGGAAAAAAAATTTGGACAGGCCCGCCAGGCCCATTAATATGTTTATAATAATTAACTTTTATAATTAAAATTTACTACTAAAATTGAAAAATCTTAATACTTTATCAATTCCTACTTAATTATGACTCATGATAATAACATTCTATAAAAATCTTAAATTTAAAAATATAAGTACCTCAATTGATCAAATCCTTAATATCTCATTTAGTCATTTTTTTTATCGGTACTTCATATTTAGCGAAATAATTTCTTTCTAAAGTATGTATTTTGTTATGTATTTATGTTGGAAAAATTGTTATGTATTTTGAATTATTTTACATAACTTATGATTTTATATAAGTTTTGTTTTTATAAAAATATAACAAGATTTTGTCCGTCCGTGGGAATCCGGGACCGTTCATAGGATGGGTATGGGTAAGTTTTCAAGCCCGTAAAAACGGGCTTGATTTTACCATATTAGGCATGTTGGATAAAAAATGGGTTAAGTCTAGCTCGGATCCGACCCAAGCCCGCAAATGATCAGCTCTACAGTCCATCCCCATTCTCCCATTTTCCATCCCTTCCCACTTTACTCCAAATTCCTCTCCCATTACTTTAGGCTGACTAGCATATGTAGGGATTCAATAGAGATATTGAATTTGCATACAGATACAATTAGCATCCGAAAAATTTGAAGTAAGTAAAATTCTTGAATTTCATATGGTCCAAGTACCCAATGACTCTTAAAAAGTAAAATTCACATCAAGAGTAGCAGGAACACAAGAGTATGCTTCTCATCTAATGAGATTATGTATTCATAATTGATCATAAGGTCCAAGTACCCAAAGGCCTGTTTACACTACACCCAAAAGCTAATTTCCAAGGCAAGTCCCCTAAGTTAATAAGATGGTACAAAAACAGACTAAACCAGCAATCCAAGATTAACACTAGGATTTCGGCTACTCACTAGAGACTAAAAGGATAGATAAAATATGAAGAGTTTTGGATGTTACAACTTACAAGATGCTTGCATGAGACTTTCTATTAATGCTAACAGTTACATAGGCAATTATGTACTCCATTTTCTATGTGATTATAGTATATAGGATTGGTTACTCAGGCTTCCAGAACATGTTGCGACAAACTCAACATTCAATGAAAAAGAACAACCAACATGCAACTTTGTGCATTTAAAGTTACAGGTCTGTCAAACAGTCAACAAACTCATAGAAGAAAGTTTAAAGTTCATGTAAATAAGAAAGTAAAGTTAAGATTGAAATTTGTAATATAATTATGAATATAGCTAACGATGAGTTGGTTTAGTATCTAATGTACACATTTTAATAATCATATTAAATATATGGTTATATAATATAGAAAGAATCGAATTCATCAAAGTTGAATTGTGTATAAATAGTTGTAATCTAGGGGGTGTTTGAGATTGCTTATTTGAAATAACTTATGTTTTTTTATAAAAGTACTTATCAACTTATTATAAGTCAGAAGAGTTTAACTTTTTTAAAAACTACTTATTACCGGTTTGACACCGGTATAAGTTGTTCATCCAAACACTCAAAAGTGTTTATTACCGATGTCATATCAAAATAAGTCAATAAATTATTTTTATAAGCAATCCCAAACATTCCAATTATACCTAAGATTTGAAGATTGTAGAACTCGAATAGGTATCTGACTCGAGATGAGTTGGGTTAAAGAAAAAACAAACTCATAAAACCTAATCGATGGACCATAAACCGCTTCAAGAACAGCTCAGGTCCACCGTCCACCGGGGAAAAACAGGAAAAACAAAGCCCTAGAAGCCTCATTGTCATCCTCTCGGGGATCTTTTCCAGCATCGTCAAGAGGATATCGAATCGACTCTACCTCGTTTCGTTACAGTTACTGAAATTCGTGTGTGAAAATCCAATGAAAACGAAGCGCCAAGATGTCGAAAATAGTGAAGAACAGCACTCGAAGAAGCAGAAATTAATCGAAAGATCTTCGTTGTCGCCACCTCAGCTTGGATTTGATAACGCTCTGCTTCCACTTGCAACATACGACGACGACGACGACGAAGATGATGAACGAGATGGTAAGAAAGTGGAGGAAAACGATCTTAATAACCGCCAGGAAGAGGAGGAAGACGATGAGGAAGAGGAATATATTAATGGATTTGGTAAAGGGAGGCATAATAGGATGATTGAAATCCGTAGAGACTGCCCTTACCTTGACACTGTTAATCGTCAGGTATTTACTTCCATTCCTCATTTTCCTTATTGTGTTTAATTTTGATCATTTAGAGTTCTTTTTTCTGAAGATTTGGAGCTTGCGTTGGGTTTACTAGCCAATGTTTGCGAAAAGAGTTATCTCTTAGTACTAATTTGGTGTAGGTTCAATTTTAAGAACCCGACGCATAATGTATAAACTGTATCATCAATTTAGCAGTATATATATCACACTAATAGGGAACAGAACACCAGAGAGGCTCAGGCGTTTCTGGATTCAATATTTAAACCTATAGACAGAATTTTGGCAACAGAAATCTTACTCCCAATGCACACGACTGATGTGCGGCAAACTGGCAATGAAGTTGTTGTACACAATCAATGGTCACAAAAGAACACTCCTTTCAATTGGAGCATACCAATCCGATTGATCATGAGGTCAGACAATAATATTTTGGGAGTACTGTGGTGGTAGACATGCACCATATAAACCATGCAACCAGAAGATGAATGAAGTTATTACTGAACTTTCTTGGATTTTCAATTGCATACCTCAAAAAGGATTTATCAACCACACTTTTATACTCTCATAATCATCTCAAGTACAGCATTTTTTGTTTCTTTTATGCATATTTACTAACATAAATGATCAATTGAGATGAAACATGAGAGACAAAAACAAATCTAACAGAAAGGGTGTTGATTGTTCTAATCGTTTGATGATTTATATTAGTTAGTTTGATAATATTTGGATAGAAAAGATGTGTGCTTGTGACAGTATAATTATGTAATTGGTCAATGCTATAAATATCCTCACTTAGGGTCGCTTTAGCAACCGCTTACCTACGCATTAGGCGTTCTGCCACCGCTTTGATTAGTTATGGCCTCTCAATTAGCTTTCTAGTCATTAAGTAAACCCGATGCTTCCATGGACAACTAATTGTTGAATTTTATTTTTTGAAAAACTAAGTTTTGGGTTAATCGTTTTTTCTCAAACGTGGTAATCTTCCCAATCCTTTTTGAGTAGAGAAATTAAACATTTGAAAGAATAATAATTGAATCATAAGATAGTATTAAAACTTTAAAATGATGTCATATCCTTACACAATAAAAAAACAATAACATTTATATTTTCAAATATATAGACTGTGTGTGATTAGGCATATGCTTTATCCCTGCTTAAGGGATTCAAATGCTAGAAGGTCACTCAGCCTTATAGCTCCATTTAATGTTTTACTGAAAAACCATGGAAGTTTAATGAAAAACTTCAAAATTTTCCATATACATCATAGTGAAGAAAATAGTAGAGGGCTCAGGATCTATGGTGTTAGACTCTGGACAGAAAATCATATTTGAGAATAGAGACTCTAATCATGCTGCACATGGATAATTTTGTAGAAATAGTCTTCACTTTGGTATTGTTGATAATTGCTTACCAGGTTATCATCTTACTGGAAAAAAGTATAGGATTAGATGCACTGTTTTCAACAGTAGATGCAAATACTAGCTAATTACTGGGATAAATAATTATGTAGGTTCTGTTAATAATTGTTCTTGTATGTTCTGTGCAAATCATGTATTTGGTGCTGGGGAAGTTTTGCTGCAAGTCTGGCATAGCACATTATCAAATTATGGTTCTACGCATAGTCACAGAGAGCTAGAAATTTGTTTGACTTGACGAGTGCACCGAGCAAGAGTATACTACTATATCTTGAAGTGGTATTTGCCATATAATTTAAGTTCTTTTATGAAAGTGTTTGATTTTTATTACATTATACTATTATAGTGTATTTAAGGCCAGGGTTCATGCTTTTGTGGTTTGAAAGGCAAAGATATATACTGATGATGGTACAAAAATAACCTGCACACTTGATCTGTGCCATTGAACAACATACTACAAACTAATACACATCACCTATTTAAATGAAAAGATACCATGAAATCTTTTTTTTTTTTTGTAGAAAGCTTCTGCCATGAAGTTCTGACTATTCTGATATTCTTAGATGGTCTTTATAGCTCACAATCTCAATGTCAGTCTCAAAATTCCACCTAAGCTTTAAATTAATATCAAAACTTCAACTACGACATGAACTTGAAATAGCAGAAGGAGCAGAATCAAGGGTATCACTCTGACCATCATGTTTTATGATCATAGAGTAGGGAAAAGATGCTAAGCTATTTTGAAGAGCAAGACTTGATACAAAGTGTACAATCTGGAGATTGTGGCAGATAGTGTGTGTCAAAGACCTTCCAGCCTAGTGGTAAGGCTTGGGCATGACATAGTCATGAACCCGAGTTCGAGCCCTGGGAGGGGAGTGTTGGCGACATTTAAGAGGGGCCATGTTTAGCCTCCAAAATTGCCG